CACACACACACACACACACACATATATATATATATATATATATATATATATATATATTTATTATCTAAAATATTATTCCAAAAAGTGCTTTTTATCAGCTGTATTGATTGACTGAACAAGCTTAAATGGAATATCAATACACAAGAGAAGCAATTGTCTCCAGCAATAAATGTCTCAGTGTTTACGTTATGATACGCTACCATAGAGATTTACACATTTCAAATATATATATTATGTAAGAAACATTATGATTTCTAGCTATAAGACACTTCCACACTGGGTTAAATATTCAGCTGTGTTTGTTAAGGATGTGACACACATGATGTCTGTCATTACAATTGTGGAGAAAAAAAAATTATAAAAAGAAAATGTCTGTTCTTCCTTCACATAGCAATTTCAGCATGCAATAGCTAAAGGCTTCATAATAAAAATGTTCACTACAAAAAGGAGGTAGTGTCCTCACCTGCAAATCCAGCATCTCATTCACTAGTCTTTCCTTCTCCATGAGGAGGTACTTGCACTTCTTCTCCTGGACCTCATTATGCAGTGCCTCTTCTTCCGCCATCTCCTGCAGGATCCGTGCCTCCGCCTCAGCCTTAAGCTTTGCAGTATTGCTCTCCATCTTAAGTCAAACATCAAAGAGTTCATTCACAGCACGGGACAGAACACTACTCTCTACTTACTACTTAGATGATAGTGTTTTAAGATAGATGATATTTTATTTGTCAGGACTGACTCACCTTAGCTGTGAGGTAGGCCAGTAGGAATGTTTGCATCTCAATGAGCCTCTTCTCATTCTCTGGATTTCTCTCGGGTTCAACTGCATTTTCAATCACCGTTTTTTCTTTTAGGGATAGATTTAAATAGCTGTTAATGGATATGGTTATCCCATTTCTAAATAACTTCCAGTATTTTCGGGGTTTAAATCTGTTTACCTTTAATGACTGAAATATCAAAATCTGGTCGAAAGCAGTGTCCATCTGAAAAAGTGGACTGCAGGATACTTTTCCCCAGCAGTGATGGTCCAGTTTCACTTGACACCATTGCTGTAAGGAAGATAACATGAACATATGCAAAAGTTATTCATAGTTCTTTATTTAGACAATGTTACAGGCTCAATCAGAAAGAAAATCTCTTTACACAGGTTTCACAACAACTGACTCAGCTAGAATCATACAGAACTGAATTATCATCAACATACTGTAGCCTTTACCGTCAATGCTTTTTCCATTTAAGCTTGTTTACAGTCATCCTACTATTATTATGATTTTTCTATCAGATTGCTGCACTGACTCCTGTGGCAGAAGCTGCCAAGCAGTTCACGAAGGACTACAAGACTTTTTCCACAGCTGTTGACACCACCCGACATGAGCTTCCTGTCAAAAACGTCTACATTGAGCCCTTCTTTCAAGCAGCCAAAGTACTTGGAAGTTAACATCACTGCTGCTAGGGCACACTACAATTACTATACTTACTGAATTTAAATTCTGAAATTCACACGATCAGAAATGAGACAGGTACTCATCTAAACAACTGTGGGGATACACATTCACAATTATCGCCATAGGAAGTACTTACATGCTGCTAGAGCCTGTGGGGCCATTGAGCGTCTTGGTGGGGTGCCCACCTTCGGCCTGACACCACTGGGTTTAGGTGAGGAAGGCCTCGGTGGCGCAGCAATAGATTCGTTGGTCAGTGAGTTACTCTGTTAACGGTTACAGGGGTGCAATGAGATAGAAATGTGTAACATCAAAAGTGTGACAACAACAGCATACAGACAGAAGAAGACACAAGCGAGCCAGAAGACAAATAATGAACTCATCATTCACAGAACATTGGCAGCTTAGGTCCAAATCTACAGTAACAATACTACGAATGAATCTCATACAGTGTTACATGGAAACAGAATTACCTTTGAAAGAGAGGTCTTCTCAGCAGCCTGCATATAGCGAGACTTGACAATTGTCCCAGTTGCTAAAGATTGATAAAATTATATTAACAAAGAAAGAAGATTGATGAAAGTAAAACTCAACATATCTGTGCAGGTCTCATATCTGCTTTAAAAGGGAAAAAAATCCAGAAGAAGTCGGTCAGGATGAGCACATTTGTCCTGCAAATGTCATTATGTGTGATATTAAATATTACAAAGCTTTAAGGATATCAGCACAAAGTCGTGTATAAGAGCATATTCAGTACATAAACAGGAATGGACATAAATATTATAAACAACACAACTGAAGATGATTTATAAGGTAATCATTGTGGAGGACTTTGGAAAGATGGTTTTAAGTGATGTCATCATGTTGTTGTCATCTTTTTGCGAGTAGTGTTACTTACGTTTAACACTTTTCTTCCCAGCTCCACTGTTGTTGGCTTTACTAGCATTGTTCACACTTTTCGTGCTGACAACAAACACAGAAGTAGCTGTCAATTTCAATAATGCAGAAATCTGAGCACAAATTACGACAGACAAGCTAAACCCGAAGCTAAGCTACAATGCTAACTTAGCTACCGTTACGGTACTTTTTTGTCACAATTCAAAAGGCGAGGGCGTTTACTTGCTTTTAGAGCTTACTTATTAGCCATATGTGTGGTCCACTAGTGTAAAAACATGAAGTTCTTTTAAAATAAAATCGTGTTAACTAAAACGAGCCTATCTGGGTTTTCTCCTCGTCAAATTCTCCTGAAACTCAACGGAGCACAGATCTGCGAAACACAAGGCACGTTATTAAAAGAAGCAGAAGAAAAGCAACCTCAGACATTAACTATACCTTTTAGCCTCGGTGGAGGTACTTTTAAAACTACTTGGCACCGTTGTTGTTCTTCTCGACGCCATAATGTTTTGAAGCAAACCGCCTGTGCGCCAGTTTTGCCAACCGACAGAAACAAGAGGCGATATTTTAGTTCCGCTCTTTTTCTTTGTTAATTTGTAGCGGATCTCTATGCAACATTAAAAAGTGTATGCGGACATTTATTGTAGTGGAGTGTGTACAGTCACAGTCACGGTACTAAATTACCTTAATACTGTTTATATATAAAATTAGAAAATCTTGCCTCTAGAGGATACCACATCCCCATCAAGTTTTCTTTGATTTTGCAATCTTTACAGTCCATGGTGGACCTGGGCTATATGCTGCAACCTTAATGCTACAACAGTTATATTGACTAGGAGACAGTCTTTATCCAAAATTATTATATAAGCCAAATTTAGATTAATGGGGTATTTTCCTTCTAACTTGGTGATACTTTCCCATACTTCTACATGGTCCCTATTTCCTGATTCTAACACTTTTACCATAAAAGCATATAGTTGTTGTCAGTTCTGCATTACTTGTGATTTAGTAAAAATCTTAGCTTCACTTGTCCTCTTATGCAGTGATGTTTTCTTGCTCATGCAGGGCATAGACATAATAAAATGAACACCTGTACAACATAGCTAATGCAGTCTTTAATCTTAGTGAAGAAGCTCACAGTGTTGTCTTTTCCGCTGTGACTGAAACAGAGAGTGGCTGATTGACACATACTGGACTACTGCATTATATTGTACAGTTGTTCATATTATTGTGTTCATACTCTATAGGGGCAAAAATATATGTTAGATAGAGAATGCAACATCTGCTTTGCATTGACTTCAATGGAAGACAAAAACTACAGTTGTTCTGGTAACCACTAGATGGGTGTAAGGGTATGCACTCACTGGTGAAACACACATTTGGTGACAATCCTTTCCAGTTAAATCTTCCTTTATACTGGACACACTACATTAAAGATTGTGTCTCCCTGCCATGTGTTGACTGATGATAAAATCAATATACATATTGTTTCCAATTTATTCCCTTATCAGTGCCATACTGTGAGTGGAGCTAAGCCAACAGTGCATGGTTAAAAGGCTGTGTAAACACTTAGCAGGTAATCAGACCATCACAGGGATAACAGAGATACATTCAGGCAATTTAGAGCATTCAGTCCGCCCCAAGTTGCATGTCTGTGAAACACGTTAAACTGAAGCATCCAGAAGTATCCCACACAGACACATGGGAGAACATGCAAACTTAAATCTTTTTGTTTGCTGTTGTAAGCCTGTGGGGATGATGACCACTCATTTGCATCTTCATCGTCACCCTGTGAGTGGGGATCTTAGTAAGTTCTTTTACCTGCTATTTTGCGTGTGCTCAAGTCTTAAAGAAAATAATGGGTGCTGATCCCACTGGTCTGGGCTGGTCTCGGACAACAGGAAGGACAATGGTTAGAGAGAGGGTGTGGGACAGGGTGGTAAACATTGGCCAGCAACCTCTGTCCTATAAGTTACTTCCACAGACATGGGTGGATAAACCATCGGCTTTACTGTTGGGTTTTAATTACTCCTGAAGCCAGTTTAACATTGTTTTTAACATTTTATGTTTCCTAGCATCCCATAATAGTATTTTAAATATAATTAAGTATAAGTGTTAGTATAAATCTCTCTGCTGGATAACATCCAAGTAATGAAACTAGTTTTATTCTGACCTTTCTGCTTTAATGAATTTTCATGTAAAAGGTTGAACATTTGGGCTTGGCACTAAAACAAATCTCTCACAAATACATGCCTGTATTTGTGTGTGTGTGTGCCAAGCATGTGATGTGTGTGTGTGTGTGTCCTACTTTATCAGTCTGTGTAAAGGCCGGGTCTTATCATTGCTCTCCTCTCTTTCTCTCTCCAGTGTAATAAAGCTTTGAGGCTGGCTGCTGTACGTCTGCATGCTGGCTGTCCATCTCTCACCACCAAGCAATGCCAGGACCAATAGTTGCTTTGAGGGTGGACAACAAGTGCCGTTGATGGTGGTGATATGAGCAGTATGGACTCTCTTTTGGATTCAGTCACTTAATGTTAGGCTAAATAATATAAATGTTTTATTGATAGGGTGGTTTCCTTTTTCTTTTCTCTGGAGTACAGGAGGAGATCCAGTCCAAGGCTGAGGAGCTGAAGTGAAAGAATGAGAAGTGCATGTTGAAAGACAGCACTATAAGGACCCATGGAGTCACTGAATGAAAGTCCTTGTCTCTTTTTTGAACCCACCTCTGTTGCGTTTCTCTCTGCTCCGAAACTCTGACGTCTTATGAAGGATCCGTCTATGTCACTGTGACCTCACTGAAACTCTGCTTTGCCACTTTTCAGGGCAATAAAAATGCAAGATGAAACAGCTTTAATTTACATTCTGAACGAAGTGAAAGGAAAGTTGTTGTCAGCTCCCCTAACACATGTATGTACACATGATTACACACACACACAACCCACCCATGCAGCCCACACACCAGTCCTTCTTCCCTTTGCGGTAAGCTGTTACTCATCACTACCCAGTCTGCCAGTCTGGTCCACATAGTCTTCCAGGAATGCCTCAAACACACAGTGCCTCATACAGTAAAGCCAACAGGCAGTGTTTACAGCATTCAGCTGGATATCTGAACTAAATCACACGCATAAATTTGATCTTGTGGGTATATGTACTCAGCATTCAAGAATTGTTTTCACACAGTTATAATCTAATTTGGTTATCTGACCGTTTACTGAGTTACAGTTACTTTTTGTCTTGTGAAATATTTATCAAGATCTTAATAGGCAGAGGGAATATGTTTTTTTATGATTAAGGAATTTCATGTCATAGAAGCACTACATTAGCACTAGCTACCTCAGCTCTCCAGAGCAGACGGGTGTATGATTTCCACTGTTTGCTCTAGTCTTGTGCGGAAAGACCAAACCAGTCAACCAGGGGCTCTCAGTATTAAGAAGCTTCTCTCTGTTGGCTAACCATTTTAAGCAGTATTAGGACAGTGTTTACTTCTTACCTTCAGACTATCTAGGTGGCTCTGCTGGTCATTTTGTCCCTTTAAAATGCAAATTCTAACACTTTGGGTGTATCACTTTGGGTATGTCACAGTGATAGTAAGCTAAGCTTTATATGAATGCACAAACAAGTATTCTCACTGAAACTCTACATTTATCCACACTGGAATCAATTAGTTGTGTAAAGCAATATTTTTAAAGAAAGAGTTGGACATTTTGGAGAAGGCTTATTCGCTTTTTGGTTAAAGTTAGATGAGAAGATTTATACCACTCTACCATCATGTGTGTTCAATATAAAGCCGGAGCGAGAAGACAGTTCGCTTAGCTTAGATTAGCATAAAGCTTTTTTATATAGATGCAGATATAACATGTAAAATTAGTGAGATTTAGAGGTGCTGTTAGGAAGATTTTTAAATCTATTGGAGAAAGCCAATGGAAACCTTTTTTTCAAAATAAGATAGCTACTGGTTTCAATCCTCTTATCTAATTTTTGGTTAAAAATAAATAATAAATACAAAATGTCCCTCTATTTCTCTGATGATTTTGCCCATTATTATAATTTTGTCAACCTTAAGTTCAGATGTCAGAAATAAGAGGTAAATGAAGAGATAGCTGTCTTATTCTTTCACAATAAGTTGCAGCTTAGTAATGATGAATCCAGCATGGTCTCAAAGCAACACCACAGACTCCATTAAATCACCTGGAGCCTTATTTTTCACCTCCTCCTAATGTTTAATGACTGGGCTTATCTTCATAGGATGTGACCTCAGCTTGGTGTTCACTCTTGTGGATGAACCTTGCAGCATCCCTGGCTGCAGTGCTGGAGGCTGGGGGATTTCCTGTAGGTGTCTTGGGGGCAGTGTGATGTTTATTCAGGCAGACACTTTAAGAACAGTATATCCTAAATCACATCATTACAGGTCAACAGATTTCTCCCAATAAATGTAGAACTACAGGAGAAAATTGTTTTTGTATATCAAGTGGATTGTGTTTCACTATGGACAATCTTAACATATATACATTAAATACATTAAACTGAGGCAGAAAATGACACTAAAATTAACTTAGAGATACTTGTATGTGCTGCTTAATAGTATGTATATAACTTTAAAGACTTAATAATATGAATAATATTTATATAACGTTATTAATTCCTAAAAAGAACATTTGCCTATTAGTGTGTGTGTGCATCTGTGTTTTTGTGTGTATGTGTTAAGCGTCCATGTGAACTTTTTGCAAATCAGAGACACCATAGAGCAAGCATGACTGGTTGTGTGTGTGAGTGTGTGTGTG